CTACCCATCCTTTACTATCTATTCATATAGATATCTATCTTATCATATTCTCTATATCTCTCTCAAATCTCATCTCTCATACATATAAAAAAAAATCATCTCTTCATCTACTCAATCAATAACATCATACAAAATCATACTTCATCATATAAATATATAATCATATTATATATTATCATCATATAAAATTCTACAAATTAAACAGACAAACAATCAAAAAACAAAATCAAATACATACATCATCATCAAAAAAAAAAAATACATACAATACAAAATACATCAATCATCTCAAAATCTCTCTCTCTCTACTCCTCTATCATCATCCCTCATTCTCTTCTCCTCTCTCTCTCTCTCTCTTTCTCTGCTCCTCTCTCTTCATTCTCTCTCTTCTCTGATCTCCACTCAATCCCCACACATAAACCCACCACACCCCACAAACACCCCACCCAACCCACAACAACCAACAAACAAAAAAAAAAACAAAAAACAAAAAAAAAAAAAAAAAAAAAAAAACACAAAAAAAAACAAAAAAAAAAAAAACACCAAAAAAAAAAAAAAAAAAAAAAAAAAAAAAAAAAAAAAAAAAAAAAAAAAAAAAAAAAAAAAAAAAAAAAAAAAAAAAAAAACAAAAAAAAAAAAAAAAAAAAAAAAAAAAAAAAAAAAAAAAAACGCCCCTCCCCCCATGCAACCAGCACCCCAAGCTCTCGTCCTCCTGTCCCCATACCCAGCGTGAGTGTCGTAGTATCGCGTGTGTGGTTTTTTCCGTGATGATCCTTTTACAATTCCATAAGCGTTATAATGGCCACCGAGTATTTTAATCTTTAAATTCCAATATATTGACCCTTATCAGATAAGAATTTATAATCAGTCTTTTAACGAGGACACGGAGAGTTCAGACATTGCAGTTTATCAGCAAATCTATCCACTTGTATTTTCACCTATCAACAAAGATCAGTCCCTCATCATTCGAGAGAGAAAAGGGGGGAGACAGGAGAAAGTGAGAAAAAAGGAGAGAGAGAGAGAGAGAGAGAGAGAGAGAGAAGGAGAGAGAGAGAGAGAGAGAGAGAGAGAGAGAGAGAAGAGAGAGAGAGAGAGAAGAGAGAGAGAGAGAGAGAGGAAGAGAGAGAGAGAGAGAGAGAGAGAGAGAGAGAGAGAGAGAGAGAGAGAGGAGAGAGAGAGAGAGAGAGAGAGAGAGAGGAGAAAGAAAGAGATAGTAAGAGATAGAGAGAGAGAGAAGAGAGAGAGGAGAGAGAGAGAGAGAGAGAGAGAGAGAGAGAGAGAGAGAGAGAGAGAGAGAGAGAGAGAGAGAGAGAGAGAGAGAAGAGAGGCAGGCAGGAAAAGGAAAGGAGATACAGGTTGTTGTACTATAAAAGAATAGTCTTATAATAATGCAATTATGGTTAATTTGCCAAATTCACACTCCACCTGTCTTGCTAGAAAGTCGACTAATAACTGTACAGGGTAATCGAGTAAGGGACAATAATGGTGATTTGTTTAATTGAGACTCGCGCGGTACATCATCTTCACCTTTATATCTATTTATAGGTCGAAATAGGTCGTGGCGCTTCGCTAATTGCCCGTTAGAGAGTTGAAAGTAGATTGGCTCCTATGACCCTCCTCTCTCTCTGCTCATTGCGAGACTCAATGCATGCAGACACATTTGCAACAGGAACAACGAACAAAAGTACAAGAAAACACACGAATATACCTAAGGACTTTTCGCTATTGCTTCGCCAGGGTATGAATAACAAGAGGTACAAAGAGGAGTATATATGCTAAAGTTATGTGGTCAGGGCACGTCGGTAATCAGGTGAGCGACGACCTTGGCTAGTTCGTGGCTTCCCGTAGCGGTGTTGTTGTTGTTCGTTGTATGAATGAACGTCGTTTCAACCATCTTCCTTTGTCGTGGGGACAGACCTGGTTTTAGGATGGAGGCCTGGAACCACTTCACGAGGTGACCGTCGGTGTCTTCGGCATATTCGTGGGTTTTCTTGTTCTTCCCTTCGTTGTTCCTGTTGCATGTTCGACATGAATTCCACACGTGCAAACACATACACACAAACTCACAATTTAATACTACGGATTTAACAAGATCTTCGGACTTAACAATAACAAAATGGTAAAACGAAATACAAAGTGAACTTTAATGATCATCTACCAACTCAAAGGAGAAAAAGAGGAAAATTAAAGACACTTTTATCCCTGTCAAGAATGGGTAATAAAGCTCCTCGAAGCAGAGAGAGATGAGAGAGAGAGAGAGAGAGAGAGAGAGAGAGAGAGAGAGAGAGAGAGAGAGAGAGAGAGAGAGAGAGAGAGAGAGAGGAGAGAGAGGAGGGGAGAGAGGAGGGAGGAGGGAGAGAGGAAGGGGAAAGAGGGAGAGAGAGAGGGGATGAGCAGGGAGAGAGAGAGACAGACAGACGCCAAGGTAGATAATAATAATGATAAAGAATAGTAATAATAATGGTGATAATAAGGATAATAATAATTAACCCTAATAATAGTGAAGTGTAAATAGAAGCACTCACAGACATACTTCCGTCAGTCTAATGAATCCTTTAAATACTTCCTGGATCTGAATCCCCATCTAAGTTGAGCTAAGAAATTCTGATAATAAAAATTATGCTAATAATAATAAAAAAGAATAAAAATAAAAATAATAATAAAAAAAGTCTGTTCATATCTTCTTGAGTTATCATGCACAGGATCCGGATTATGATCTGAATCACCACCAAAGTTTAATGACATCCAAGTTTGGCTAAGACACACCTCTGGTAAAAAAAAAAAAATAAATAATAATAATAAAAATAATAATAAACAACAACAACAATCTCCTCATAACATATCGAATTATCTTGGTAACCAAAGAACAAACTAAAATTACCAAAAACATGACCTCTTTGGCAGAAGTAATAATAATGGACAACTAGAAGCACCCAGAGAGCGCATACTTCTGCCAAGGCAATGGGGTCAAGTAGACTGGTGACGTCCGTGTTTCCTAATCTTGCAGTGATAAAGAATCCCTTAAAAAAAAATCCTGGATCCGGACCATGTTCTGGATCACGACCAATATGCAATGGAATCCAAGTTGGGCTACGACACGTATCTGGTAAAAAAATATCATAAAAATATATTCATAACTTTTGGAGTTATCCTACTAACTAGCGAAAAAAACGCTACCAAAAAAACGCTACCAAAAGCATAATGAATGGAGTGACACTAGCCATAATGCGACTAGCGAATGGACAGGTAATGAAATAATATAAAATCTATGGCATTAAGTCATAGCCTGTCTCAGCGTTAAGGCGTAGCGCTGACATAATATAAAGATTACCTACAGAGGTGAGTCAGACAGAAAAACATGACTATACAAGGGGCATTACACCCAAAGAGTGACGTTAAGAGGATTTGTGTCAAGTTGAGAAAGGCGGCATGTAAAGAATTCAGAGGAAAAGTTCACTGCAGGTTAAAAAATACGATTGTAATAGAGAACTCAGGAACGGGGACGCAAGGCAATGAAAGGAGAAGAGAGTGTATGGCCAGCTTATAAGATAAACGCTGGACACAACAAATAAAGAGAAAGGTTGGGAATGGTTAAGGAAATCACAGCTGAAGGTGAAAACGAGAGTTGGTAAGTGCTGTCCAGGAGCAGGCACTTGGGAACTGGGAAATGTGCAAATTTGGATTTATTGAGATATTGCAACCTAGACACTGATGACACAAAATACTATCTGAATACTGTTAAATGAAACAACTTAATCACAAATATTATCAGAATGCTGAAAAAAGACAAGGTATCTGAAAAAAAATGGAAAATCTATCAGAAATAGAAATCTTCAGAGAGAATTATCTAGAAAATAGAATATTGACAAGACCGCCAACTCGCCATTAGGTAGAAAGTGTAGTGAAAAAGGTTAAAACGTTAGACATATCGTTTCCAAATGTAAGATATTGGTTAAACAAGAATACAAAAGACGGTATGACAACATTGCCCGAGTTGTAAATTGGAATCTTTATGAAAACATAAAACAATAGGGAGACCAGACAAATGGCATAAACATCCCCACCAAAGTGTAAGTGAAAATGAGGAATGTAAGGTCTTAAGGGATGTAAGAATTCAGTGTGACGAACACAGTGGTAGAAGAAATATATGATAGTAAAAATTGCTGCTCCAGGAGGTAAAGTTGAGAAATACCCAGATCTTCAAGTGCTATGGTGTGGGGGTTCCGAAAAGCCGAAGTTGGATGTGTGACAAAGGATATCGAAAAGTGTCGTACCACAAAAAAAAAAAAAAAAAAAAAAAAAAAATGTCTCACACATGGAGCGTCCCTAACACGACGTATTTTTGTTTTGTTTTTTTACGTGTATAAGAAGTAATGTGATTATATGGTAATTGAGATTTGAATAGCTTACACCCGATGCCACACCATATGCCAGAATTAAGAGTTGTAAGTTAAAAACAATTATTTTAATGCATTTGCATAAACTAAACGACTGCCACATTCCTCCAGTGCTTATCATTATTGTCAAAGCAATTATTCATAACGTGATGTCTAACACTATAGTGGTAAATGATATTACATTAAAGATAATGATACTACTGATGCATAATAATATTCACAACATGATAATAGCAATGACAATACAACGACAGTGATGATCATGATAAAAATAGTACATTTAAATTGCGTTTATTCTTTAATTACGTCGACTCTTCCTACTATATTTCGTTAACAGTATTATTTCTGTCACTATACTTATAATGATGACAATGATAGTAGTAGTAGTAGTAGTAGTAATGATGATGATGATTAATAGTAGTTGTAGCATTGTTACTATAATCTTTATTATCATTATCATTACAATTATTGTAGTCATTAATATTATCATAATTTATCATAAACATTATCTATATGGAAAACAAAAAGAAACGATAATATTTTAGCATTTGTGATGCTTTATTCGAAGGATCACTAGCTGCCTATCAAAATGTACACAATTTCGAATGTTTTGCTCTGGCTGTGACTTTGTACTTCGACAGTCTCTATGTATTTAAGTACCTTTGGGTGTATCTCTAAAACACATGTAGTATATTTGCCATTCTTGTAAATGCTTGTTTCTTATTAAAAAGTAATCATAAAGAGTCTCTTGAGAGTTTGAGGATAAATGTAAGCCACGGTAAGAAATTCAAACAAGAACAACAAGGATCATAATAAAAATAAACAGATTCGTTCTCCTTCGCGCAGATTCGAATCCTCTTGAAGCTTCATAAACCAAGATCGTTGAACCAAAATTGAAAATAAGGTTGATTTAGATTTAATAATTAGAATTTAGATCAGGAAAGAAAAGAGATACAGGGGGTTATAAGCTTCATAGAAGTACATCGGATTTAGTTTGATTTATGTTAAAAAAGGAGGAAATTCCCTGTGATCATGGTTCGGGCAGCACAACGACGGTGAGTTATTTATTATTATTATTATTATTATTATTATTATTATTATTATTATTTTTATACATATATATTTATTTATTCATGTGAGCAGATTCATTTTATGAGATTTTTGTTTATATATTTCTATTTGTTTATATG